CGTGGGTATGCTTGTACCGATGCTCCTTCAGCTTGGGCTAATAGGTGGTACTCTAGGCCCGTTATGCATAGTCCTGTTTGGGCGTTGGGCCTGCTGGGCCTATTCCAACATTACTCCCCCCCAGTGTTCGGTTGACGAACTGGGATGTGTGTAGCCACGGGCCAGCGTTGTTGGGCCTATTCCAAGCCCGTTGTTGGGCCTGTTCCATTCCAAACGGGTTTAACAGCTTGCAGCCGACCTCGACAAGGGGCGAGCTGAAAGGTAAAACGAAAAGAGGTGAGCTCGCGAGCTTGAAAACGTGTGGGCGAGCTGGTTTTCACAGCCACATTAGTGTGGGCCGGTCATGGCGGCGAGCTGAAGTGATTGGCAATAGACGAGCTCGCTCGGGGGCCATCCCTGCATGGAACGCCCGAGCAGCTCGTATTTGTGACGACCTGAGCTTGGAGCACCACCGTTGACTAGAAGGTGCGACCTCACATTTAGGGCGACCTGAGGTACCCATTGATTTACGTAAAAGTTTGTGACCTGTGCGAGCTGCGATCCGTGTATCGACCTGGCAAATGTGGCTGCCGCCACAATATGTGACGAGCTGAATCTTGGGGAATTTTAGCAAAAGATCCACACTTTTGAACGAACTGTCACGGGTGTGCCGATCTGGCATAATGTCATGTTTGTAACGACCTGGTAGGTGTGTTCGCAATGACGAGCTGATGTGACAATATAGGGTACACATCAGCAATGACGATCTGAATCTTGGGATTTTTTGAATCAACCGAATCTGACCAGATCTCTTAGGAGATACGTTTGGTCTTCCGTATCTCTTTATCTTCCTCGCCATAAATGCAGGTGCAGCGTTTGAGGAACGTGACAGCCGGAGGCGGCGCACGTTATGCGAAAGGCAGTTAAACGCCTACCACGTGTGAGACGCCTATTGGCGCGTCAGAGACACGCGTATTGCGTTTAATACGGTCATTTTGGTTTTGTTTCTTTCGTAACCGTTCCCTTTGCCATTTTCACTCTTGCATTTGCTCGAAATTTTCTGAAATTCTCTGAAGCGAGGCGACTCCAATCTTGAAGAACAGCACACCGAATCGACTTCACATTAATTTCAGGTAAAAATGGTTTCACTACGAGAACTCACAGAGCAACGAGGTAACCAGGGCAGAGAAGGAGAGGAGGAAAGGGTTTTAGCCGTGGAGCCTATCACTATGATAGTGCCACCGGAGTTGCAGGATGTACCGGAAACAGTGGCGTCTGAGAGCAGCGCCAGTTCCCGCACCAGAGACGACGGTGACGACCACCCTAGTGCATCGTCAAGCAGCTCGTCTACGGAAGAGACACCCAGCCGTGAAGAAGGGGCGGGGGATTTGGTGAGCAGTGTCTCAGATCGGCCGGTTATTGGGGAATGGGAAGGTGCGACGATCTCGGGCAGGTTGAGTAACCTACGGAAAGCGCCGAAGGACCTGCCCGGTGGATTCAAGTTCAAGGCTGCACTTCATCACGAAGTAGCAGATTGTACGCCCTCCATAAGTGGGTATAAACGGCTGGAGGAGATGGTGAGGGCGTACCACATCCCCAAGACCATATTGCTGCGGACAGGCGGGCAGAACGAGAGAGCGTGCACTGTGTCGCAAACGGGCTGGATACCAGTGTACGTGGACCACTTTGACGCCGGCCTGCGATTTCCCCTGCCCGGATTGGTGTTCGACCTGCTGGCGGAGTACGAGCTGGCGCTGACGCAGATAACGCCCAACAGCATAAGGTTCATCATGGGCTTTATGCTGTTGTGCGCGAGATTGGAGATGCCAGCTAAAGCGATAGTGTTCAGGTCGCTATTCTAGTGCCGGTTGTGCCCGAACTCACAAGGAGCGAGATGGTACTACCTCTCTAGGAGGGATAAGAGCCAATTGTTCAAGAATGTCCGGAACAAAGTGGCAAGATGGAAGAGGCAGTTCGTATTTGTTCGCGACACGCGGACAGAGAGGATAAGCAACGACCTCGCTGCCCGGCTGTCCGAATGGCGAACTCCGAACGCCCACATCAACTACCCCCAGCTGCTGCCCCGGGATGTCGACTTGAAGAACCAGCTGCTTCAGTATGCGTAGGGGGAGGGTTTGATAGATTTAGAGGCCCTGGTTACCTCGGAGCAGCTCGCCGTGTTCGGGTTTGTCGATATGACAAACCTGATCAGCGAAGGTATATTTTCATTTTACAACATGGATTCTAGCCGAGCTGAGGCTTATATATTTGTTTGTGTAGGTGAAATGAGCAGCATACTGGAACGTCAACGTTAACGTGCCCAGAGTTCCCGAGGGCGTGGGGCGAGCAGCGCGCAACCCCGGCAAACAAGGTTTGACGAGCGGCCACCCCTAGCGCCTCAACCACGCAGCTCTTCACACCGGGGATCCAGCTCGTCGTCCAGGCTGCGAGCAGATAACAGAGCTGAGGCTGCGGCCCCGAGTGCATGCAGACGTGCACGGGAGGAGACAGAGAGCGAGGAGGACGAGGTCCCCCTTGCTAGGCGCATAAGAAGTGGGGGGACTCAGCCCGCACAGGCAGCTCGCCCTACAACGGTGCATTCGCCCAACGCACCGTCAGCGACTGTGCGGGCAGCAGTGGAGCCCGCCACTGCTTCTACCTCGATGGGCCTCAGGATTGCTTATCCTGAGGGCTTCACTTATGTGCGGGCAGAATTGCAGCCGGCCATGGTGCAAGCCATGCACAGTTTTGTGCCCCCTTCTGACAATAAGCGGGCCAAAGCTTTTGTGCAACAGCATGGCGGTCAGGTCGCCATGATCAAGTTGATGGATGTAAGTACCTGCTCGTACCTGCTTGAACATTTTACTTTTTCTTTTTAGAGATTGACAGTGACAATTGTTTGACAGGCGTTCAATTACGCGGTGGCACTGTACGAGAGCGAGCAGGCGGCTCGGACAGAGAACACCGAGCTCGGTGCCAAGTGTAAAGAGCTGGCCATCGAGAAGGCTAGCCTTGTGGACGATGTGAATCGTCTACAAGGTTCTGAAATGGCGAACCGAGCTGCTGCCGCAGAGAGCCGAGCAGACGAGCTCGCCGGCAGGAATAACGAGCTCAGGGAGGAGCTGGATCGAGCACGGGCTGAAAAGGAAAGCGGGATTCAGGCGGCTAAGGAGGAAACCGTCCGGGTTGAGGAACGGGCGAAGAAGGCCGAGGCCGACCGAGACCGCGCTCTGCACGAGCTGGCTTCGTTAAGGAATCAGGTCGCTGAAGCTGCCCGGAATCTGAGCGCAGCTGAAGAGGCCTTGAATGAGTTGAAAGTCACTCATGGGTGCTCTATCGCGATGGCTCGGGCTCAAGGTGCAGAGTGGCTGGTCGGTTCAGCCGCATTCCAAGACGCAGTGGCGGTGGCGTCTGCAAACGTAACCACGGAAATCTACAATGAGATTCGTGGGAAGGTGCTGCACGACCGCCCAGATTTTCCGATCTGCGAGCTGGTCTTCTTTGACGAGGAGGAGCTCGACGAGCAGGGTAAGAGCCTTGCTCCCCTCGCTGATGCAACTGTGAGGTTGAGGTGGGACTTGAACGAGGAGGGTGTGCCCGTCTGGCCACCGTCCGTGCTGGAGGACGGGGAGGATCTAGCAGGACTACCCTCCTTTGACGCCTGGGTAGAGGGTGCTCCTGTGGCTGAGCAGGAGCCTTCGAGTACCCCACCGAACTCTCAGCCCGCTGTGTTGCCGGCCAGCTCGCCCGTCAGCGCACCAGCCACTGAGCCAGTAGCCCGGTCTCCCCCAGCTCGCTCTCCTGCAGCTGCTGCTGATGCATCTATGCCCGTCGATCTGACGGATGACTAGATTTAGGGTTTTTTTCTTTTGACTTTTTTGTATCTTGTTTTTGCATTTTGTATTTGATCAATGAATTCATAGCATGTACCTTCAATGTAAATGTCTTTGATGAAATACAAAATGAACTTTTCTTTGAATTTGTGTTGTATTTTCGGTATATCATTTGTTTACAACTGATGGATAGTACCTCAAGCGAAATAATATAACACACATTAACTGTAAAACTTCCTAAGATTCTGTACATTCCAAAGGTAAGGTAACTGTTGCCCATGTATATCTGCTAACACGTAAGAGCCAGGTCGCTTAACCCGAACCACCATATAGGGACCTTCCCAATTAGGAGCGAGCTTACCCATGTGTGAATGAGTGTTAGTTAACCCAGCCTTGCGTAGAACCAGATCGCCAACTTGAAACTGGCGGGCTCGAACCCTTTTATTGTAAAATTTTGCAACACGGTTTTGATGTGCCA